CCTCCTCCCCCCACTCCACCCTCATTTCACAGCAGTCATGGAAACACTAAAATCGCAGCTGAAATAGTCATGACAGGGGGACCAAGACGCGAGTTAACAGAGAGTTAACTACAGTTTTGAAAGTGCTGTGCTGCCTACATCGCCTACAGAAGTTAACCTCAAGACCTCCCTGGTGGGGATGTCATTGTCCCCCTACAGACAGCAAACAGTAACTAAGGGGCCTTGCTAACATCACCAGATAACCAGGTTCTAGTAACATCCCCCAAGAGAGTCAAGAGAGTTCTGGAATCCTCATCTGAGATACAGTAAGTGAGAGAGAAATGTCCGAGAGAGAGAGAGAGAGAGAGAGAGAGAGAGAGAGAGAGAGAGAGAAAGCGCTAAGCTCTGGAGTACTGAACACATTCCCTGTGTTCAGGCTTTCCAGATATATACGAGCATTTCCTCTTCATCAGTTAAACCCAGTCACCCCTGCAGTGCAGGCGTTCCTGGGAATGGATTTCCCCCCATTTTCAACTAAATACATATCCAATATATTTCGAATTACATATCTCTTTCCCAGGCAGTCTTCTCTCAGCATGTGTGATGGAAGCATAGAAATGGAAGTTAAATAAAAGACAATTCACCTGTCAGGTACCTTGCTCAAAATACTTGAGGGTGAGATAATCTCCGGATGGAAAAACTGGCTTCTTGTTGTTGTAGACAGGGTCTCTATGTAACCCTGACTGTCCTACATAGGATCTCGCTATGTAGAGCAGGCTGACTTTGAACTCACAAAAATCTGCTTCCCTTTGTCACCCAACTGCTGGTGTGCACCACCGCACCTGGCAAGAGCTGATTACTAAATCAGTTGTTTGGAAGCAAAAGCATACGTTCTTTCTCCTGCAAACATATTATATTAGAAGAGTGAGCTTCCAAAGCCAGCCCATCTACAGCCCCTTGAAGCAACCCGTAAAACACATTTCTACTCCCTCAATGTCCCCAAGCTTTAGCAGAACAAGGAGTCCCTGGGATCCAGACAGAGGTCAGCAGCCCACAGCCCAGCCCCCGTTCCTATCCCACCAAGGCCCTGGAGATAATGTGATGCTCTGAGACCCAAAGAGGTGGAGACTTTGCTTCAGTTCAGTCCTTGAAAAATGTGGTACCCAGGGAAGGTCTGTGCAAAGGCACAGGTTTTTGAACTTGGTTTTTGATTCGCATCTCCCATTCACCACCATACACCCTATTCCCCTAGTTTCTGACCCGACAGGACTGGTCTGGGCTTTGAACGTGGTGACTTTAAATTTGGGAACTTTTGAATTTGACAAAAAAATGGTGCTGCCTGCTTGAAAGCCCATTCAGAGGGATGCACGTCCCAGGTCTTTCCAGCTGGGAATCTGTAGGTCCAATCAGAAGATCAGGGTGTTGCTAGTTGGTTTTTGTCACCATTGTTCTACAATGATATTTTAGGGTTGTTAAGCATCAAAGGAACAAAGTTTAGTTATTTTCATTTTATTATTTTTTAAAAACTACTTATTATGAAGTGTTCTACTTGCATGTATGCCTGAATGTCAGAAGAGGGCGCCAGACCTCATTATAGGTGACTGTGAGCCACCATGTGTTTGCTGGGAACTGAACTCAGGACCTCTGGAAGAACAGTCAGTGTTTTTAACCACTGAGCCATCTCTCCAGCCCAGCTATTTTTACTTTAATAAGCACCCTAACAAAAACAGGTATGTTCTTACTATGAGTATGACTGGCCTGATGTGATAGCAACATGCAGATAGCAACTGTGAGGGACAAGAAGGTTGTAGCCTCATGGTTAGCCTCACCCCCATCTCTGGGAGAAGGAGTGCCCTGACTTCTCCCCCATGAGGCTACTGCTTCTCCTGCCGCATCCCTGTTCTACAGAGAAGAGGCTCGGTGAAAACAGCTTTGCTGTTGACACTGTCTGTAGCGTGCACATACCCAGCTCCCAGAAAAACCATAGCATTTCCACCTCCCCAGATCTTCAAGCTTTTACTTTTCAAACGCATCTGTGCCTCACTGTGCGCTATCTGGAGCAGCATCCCTCTCTTCATCCTTGGGAGATCTCAGGCTGTGCCTTCCTAGAAGGAGACTTCTCTGGCGCCGGAGACCAGACCTGATGCCCTTCCTGAGGTTCTCAAGCCATCTGGCCTCCCTATTTTAATCCCTTGGCCACGCTCTTTGTAACATTTACATATTGCCTCCTGCTCTGGCTATCACACCATGGAACTAAGATTTTTTTCTGATCAAGTCACTCTTGTGTCCCCACCCTCCAGAGCAGTTCTTGACACATACGTCTTTGATGAACGATGCTGAAGACGTATACAGTGGCTTAATGCGGAGACCAGTGCTTCTAAGATTGCCTACTAACACCACATGCTCTAGGACCCCACTCCCCACGTGACTCACTGTGCGCCGATTCTCGCCAGGATCACACCTGAGAAGAGCAAGATGTGGAGATGTAAGACTCTGGCTGCTCAGGGTCCTGCTGGTCATCAAACAGGACTGTGCTATTGGTCCAGTGGAGAGGTGAGCAGTCGGGGAAGATGGACTAGTTTAGGTTTCTTTTGAAGAGGTAAACATGTACCTGGTCACCCTTTAGCATCTAATGATTTAAAGAGGAATTCTTGTTTAATGGGAGGGAGAAGGTAGCCATATTCAAAGGACTTCCTGGAACAAAGATAGAAAACACACGGAACACGTAGGCTACCTACGTGGAGCCAGCTGGAAATGATCCCTGTGGTGACCAAGCCATAATGCTTCTGGAGCCAGGTAAAGAGACTTGCTCCTATTAGGCCAGACACAGCCGAAAGGGCTGTGAGGATGCTGAGGAGGGAGCCTCCAATGCCCTGGGTATAGGTATAGCCTGGGGTAGTGCAGGTCATATAGAGGAAAGCCAAACCTAAGCCAGCCAGGAGGACAGTCTGTGGGCAGTACCTTTCCCATTCCTCCCGGCGTGTGTGGAGCAGCCTACGTGTGCCTTGAAGACAGTGGAGAAGCCTTTTGGTTGTGGCTTGTTGTTCTTCAAGGCTAGAATTGAGGTCCTTTGGTTTTCCCAGAGTTCTAGATTTGTTGATGAACCTATTCATGGTTTCTCAAAACTCTGTTTCACCTAAAATAAAATCCAGATGAGCTTAAACTCAATACACAACCATCTCCCTCAGCTGTCCCTCCCAGACTCCTCTGCTCCCATGTTGGACAGCTCCTATGTATGCTCCTAGCTTCCCTTTCTCAGGCACCTGGGACTTGCAGGTGCTGGAAGGTGAGTGATATTTTGTAAGTTCCCTCGGGAACAAATCTCACCAATGAGTGATAGAAGTTGCTGGATGTAACATTCCCGTTTTTTTGGCCTTTAGTGGAACAATCCTGAGGTACATCCCACATGGCGTCTCTGAAGGTCCCCGACTCTCTCTACAGTCACATATTCTTCAGGCTCCCTTATCAGCTTTTCTCTCTGCCCTCTCCTGTCCCACTTCCCTTCCTCCACCCTGGATCACATTCTAAAGAGATTACTTTTCACCCTAGAGTCTTGTCTCAAGATGTGCTCAGGAGAGAACCAAGCTAAGACACAGAGGACAGGCATGCCGGGTGAAGGGCTGGCTCAGGGAATGGCAGGACACAATGTCACACGCTTGAAGTATGAGTGTGAGTTCCAGGAAGTCATTGTGGGTGTTTACTTTCTAAAGAAGTGGATGCTTGAGGAGGTGGATAAGAAATAGATAATGAGGGGCTGGAGAGATGGCTCAGTGGTTAAGAGCACTGACTGCTCTTCCAGAGGACCCGGGTTCAATTCCCAGCACCCACATAGCAGCTCACAACTGTCTGAAGATCCAGTTGCAGGGGGTCTGACACCTTCGCACCAATGCACATAAAATAAAGTTAAATAAACCATAAAAAATATTTAAAAAAAAAGAAATAGATAATGATTTAGACGTACTCAGCACAATGAAGACAAGTAGGGCTCTAGAGGAACCAGAGGGGCAGGGGAACAGACCACAGGACAAGAGGTGGGAGCTTTCCATTACACAAATGAGCTTACTGCCAGGCAACCAGAAACAAAGATGGTAATAAACCGACGACAACGGAAACACCGCTAACGTTGACTTCAGCCTTACTGTATGGGTGGGGATGAAACTAGGCTTTTCATTGACCACCCTACTTAATTCTCACAGTGTCCTGGTGAAATTAGTTCTGTAATTCTTCTCGCTTTGCAGAGAGGCGGAGGATGTGCTCACAGACGAGAAGGACGCATGTCATTTATGTATCCATCTAGGCCTCCATCCATGATCGAGATATGTACTCTATATATCTATCTCTCCAAATACATGCATTCTGCTCATGAGTTTAATCTAGTGGTATTTATCCAAAAAATAATGAGAAAATGAGTGCTAATCATAAATCCACAAAGAGAACTGAGTTAACCAGGCAGATGGGTAACACTGTCAGTTGGTGAAGATGGCTCTTACTTGAGAAGAATGAGGTCATATCTGCTGACATGTCTCTATTCCTGTTCATCCCCACACACTTAGAAAATGTCTAACTTTAAGCACTGCAGGAATACGCTATATGATCTTGATCAAAGGGTAGCCTGTATTCCCTGACATAGTCGCCTCTCTTAAGGAGCTTTGGGATAGATGTTCATGAGCAAGATGGAGGGATAGTCTATGCAGGTTGTACGCTGCATTTCCACAGGGGGGTGCTACTTACCACTGAAACGTCTCTGAATGGAGTCCCTGGAGTTATGTACAATCCATTTAACTGGACAAAGTAACCCTGCCTGCCCCCACCAACGTGGTCAGGTCACATGAGCTTCGTGACCATCGGCACGGCTGCAGCCCTCTTGTTTATCACTCTCTTAGGGACACTTGCAGAGAGAATATTAAGATTGTGGTTAGGCACACAGTCTGGAAAGAAGAAATGAAACACTAGCATGGAAGGAGCAGAAAGAACAAGAGCTCCCTCTGAGTTTGCATTACCTGGATGTGCACAGCCTCCCGCTGCCTCTCTAGGAAGCACCCCACTGTGTGGTGTTGGGGTTTTACAGCCAATTGGGGAACTAGCTGATAAACCCTGGACAGAAATAGAAACTCTACAAGAAGTGAAACCAAGTTCCATCCAAGAATGAAACCACAGCCAATCACATGAGATGCCCATGCCATCTCCTGGCCCATTGTCAGGGGGACAAATGTACTGATGACCTGGTCCAGCCTTCATCCCTGCAAAGGAGAGGAAGAGACATGGAGACTCAGTGGACAGATGCCTCCTTCCGCCTGGGGAACTCGACACCGTGAGTTCACTGGGCTTAACAGCCGACTCAGGGTCAATGATGGGGACAGCAAGTTTGTCTGCCCATGAGCGGCGGCCTTTTCAACCTAGCCTAAGTCGGATGTGAGTGATTAGATCAGTGAACTGACTGTGCTACCCATGGCCACACTATGCTAATAATACTAATGGCTGTTAATTAACCGCCAGCACAGTGGTGTGGGAAGGAAGGTAAAGGGAGGGTAGAGGAGAATGGGTTGGATTCTTACTTTGTGCCAGGCACACGGTCCCGAACCATACACCTACACTCATCTCTGTTCATGCTCACAAGTCTAAGAAGATAATGGCACTTCCATTTTACAAGTTAGGAAACAGAGGTGCGCAGAGGGAAACTCTTTTCTCAGGATTGCAGAAAAAGAACATTATGGAGCTGCGACTCCAAATCCAGCCAGTCTGACTCCAAAGGTTATGGATTCTACCACCACTGAAGAAAATGTTCACAAGTGTGTCTTCAAACTTGTAATAAACTCGGGCCAAAATCGTTTTACCTTGAAGTCTTTTCAAATGAATTAACAGAGAACGGGAAGGTTTTCTTGACCCCAGCACAGAGGACACCCTGAAGTATCACCCAGCTTTTATCCACACGCCTCTTATTTTGGGCAATGTTACTGAAGCCACAGCACATCCAAATAAGTGCAGTTTAAAAGAAAAGCGTGATGATAGGGGCTTCTACTCTGCAAGGCATGTATTTTAGACTCCTTAATAGCTTCCTTTATCTTGGCCATCAACACTCAGGCACTTCAACTGCTCAAGTATAGGGTACGGTGAGATCCTCAGCTCTAAGTGGGCAATTAGAGCACACTGCAATGAGAGCTGTGCATGCTTCGCAAGTGGGAAAAAAAGACAAGATGACAGGCCACTCCACTGCACCCCTTTGCTAGAAAGCGAACTTCTGCTTCCACTATTAGCAGTGATCAATAGTCACACTGGGGATAATTGGGCGGGGGATGTGGAAGGTTCTCACTGGTGGGAATTTAGAAATCGTTTGTTCACTTCCTGTCTCGGTCCACAATGGCTACAGAGCATCTGGATGTAAATGGAAAGCCGCTGCCTCCTGACCCACCTGACCTGTGCATTAGCTGAGAACAGTGATGGACATTTCTTGGGTGTTCCTTCTGTGTAGATTTATGCGAAGCACTTACAAAACCTAAATTTCATGAAATCTTTCCTTCCCCAAGGTGAGCTCAGAGAGAATGAATATGTATGTGGACATGCATGCATGAAAGTGTGCTTATGCGCGTGCGTGCAAGCATGTGTGTGTGTGTGTGTGTGTGTGTGTGTGTGTGTTTGCCCCATGCTACAGATGAGGGAAGTCGAGCTCAGAGAGGTTAAGTAACTTGCCCCAGGAAACACAGCTGTTGAGAGAGCTAGCAGGTTTCAGGTGAATTCAATCACAAATCAGGTTGGTTCCAAATTCCTTTCTGCTCCAGGCTAGGATATTGCCTCTCCTTGAGCCCTGGATGACTTGTCACCTCTGCTTCTCTGCCTATCAGAGGACTGATGAGGGTGGCCCTGCTCACCAGCCAGCTGGCCTCTGTTGTTCCCCATGAGGCTCACAATCCAGTCCCTCTAAACGGTGACAGTAAGTGCAGTGGCCCCCAGGTTTGCCACCGCCACTAGGGTAATCACAGCATAGCAGAATGCCTACCAGAGGAGAGAAGGAGAGGCTGGAAGGAGGCCAAGAATAGACCTTTCCGCCCAGGGTAGAACATGGTTATTTGTCTGACAGCTTGCGGGACCTATAAATGAACACAGTGACCTTTGAGAGGAAAAGGCTCCGAGTTAAGTCTAAGCCAAATGCTCTTTCTTCCTCTCACCCCGCCAGCACCAGATGCAATGCTAATTTGTACCTTGCAGACAGACGCTGCTGGTTTACTGCCGCACTCTCTGTGGGATCTGGGCTCCAATTCAGGAATTAGGGGCCAAGGGGGCAGTGATGAAAGGGCACAGTGAGGCAGCTGGGTAGAGAGTGCCTCCCAACAGACACTTGGGTGTGACGATGACATGCGCTGTCGTGATGCAGGTGTGAGAGGGGAGACACTCACAGTGGCCAGCCATGCCAGATTTGCTCCATCTCCCTCCTGTAGGAGACACCGGCAGCAGGACCACACAGCAGGACCACAGGACCAGCAGCAGGACCACACAGCGGACAGAGGCCTCCTGAATGGAGAGGGAGGCTGAGCAACTGCAAACGGAAATGCCCCCCCCCCCAGGCGAATCATAGCTGCATCACCACCTCATGCAGGGTCATTGTTGGCCCACGTGCTTTGCCCACCACGGTCATCATTTTCCACCAGCAGTCCCAGGCTTGGGCAGGACTTAAAAGGAGGGCTCTGTGATCACCAACGCCTTTGCAACAAAATTTTAAAAAAAAAATTTTTTTGTTTTAGAAACCAACTAGATGAAACCAGAGCTGAACTTTGCAAGTGAAGGAAAATGTGCTTGGCATGAAAAATGACAAAAACAAAAACAAAAATAAAAACAAACAAGCAAAACACAAAGCCAGGCTCCAGCTAATTCCGATAACTTGAAATTCTGCAGTTACCCCAGACTCTGCGGGATCCTTCTCTAATGGACACTTATCAATTGGGCCTAAGGAGTAACACTCCAGGTCTTGAAGCAACTGACTTTTCTATGATGTCTCTCCAAACCTGCTGGGTGTGGTTAAAAAAAATAGCCTTGCTGACTAGTTATCAAAAGAACAGGAGAGTTTGGGGAGGCCTAAGTTTCTATTGGGCAAGGGAGATACTATGAAGATATTATCACTAAACACTAAAGGAGATCTCCATTTGAGCAAATGAGTCTCCAGATGCTGAGGCTAGGTATCTGGTACAGGGGGGCTCTTTCACATAGAGAGTGTTCCTGACTGAAAATAAACACACGTCCTGACTGAACAGGTAATGCTAGGATATTAGAACATGCTTTCCAGTAATTCAGGACTAAAATCTTCTACTTGGTAAGAATCTAAAACCCTAAGTCGGTGGTATCACATGCCTTTAATCTCAGTACTAGGGAGGCAAAGGTGGGTGGATCTCTGGTCTATAGAACAAGTTCCAGGATAGCCAGGGCTCCATGGAGAAGCCCTGTCTAGGAAAACAAAAACAAACAAAAATAATCTAAAACCCTGTTCAAGAGTTCAGGCATGTCGCCCAGTGACAGTGCTTCTCGGAGCATGCGTGAAGCTCCGAGCCATATCCAAAGAACTGCACAGTAATAACCAATGAGCTAAACCACACTGATGGGTTTAAAATGGAAACATTGAGAATGTGACCCAAAGCTAAACAACTCTTTCCATGGAGTTTTTCAGTTAGGCCCCACTGCTATTTAGGACAGCTTGGTGATTTATTTCATGACGTAAAGTCCCAAAGCTGGTGAGGTCATAACCGGCCACATGTCACCTGCATCCCAAAGCAAAGCATTACCTTTATTTTTTGGTTTCCTGTTGACCCAGTTACCAATTAAAACCCCAAATATTAATATAGAACCAGTCATCACTAAGCCAAACACCGCTGTAAGGAGAGGATTGTGTCCGTACAGCTCTATCAGGAACATAGACGTAGCAAAGTGCCACATCCCGTCGCCCTGCAAAGCTATAATCACTGAGAAAGGCGGAGGAAGAGTAACTCCAGAAAGATACATTTGCCCCAAATGGCACACCAACCTTAAAAAGCCAGAACGTCAAAAGTAAACTTTGATGGAGAGCATTTATGACTTTATTTTATGCATTGTACTTTTGATCTTAAATATTTTTTTTAAAAAATCAAAAGCATTAAAAAAAACTAAATAAGCTAATGAGAAAATATCAGACACAGAAGAACAGGAAATTCCCACCACCAGGACACCCTGAGAACATCTGCTGGTCAAAAGCAACAGATGCACCAGCCCTGGAGCCCTGTTTGCCTCAGGATATCAGCAGCAAGGAGCACTTTCTACAGAGCCTGGACTGCTTGGAACCACACCAGCAGGGCAAGGCAACTGAACAAAGAGCAAAGCAATCCTTCTGTGGGTTCATGTCCAGCTATCCCTTATTTGCATGGTCCAGGAGACCTCTCCTTAGATCTGGATTAATCAGTGCTCACCAGCACTTTTATCCCCATCAACAATTGCAGCCTGAAGCCAGGGACAAACAGCTAGCACCCTCCAGGCATCTGAGAAGAGGCAACTACAAGCCTTTATGAAAGGAAAAGTGTCATCATAGGCTCCAAAAAAAAAAAAAAAAAAAAAAAAAAAAAAAAAAAAAAAAAAAAAAAGAAAAGAAAAAGAAAAGAAAAGAAAAGAAAAAAAGAAAAAAAAGAAAGAAAGAAAAAAAGAAAAGAAAGGTTAAAATAAAAGTAAGAAATGTAAGAATAGAGGGCAGTCACCTAGAGAGAGAAAGACACTGGTTTCTGTCTCAAGCACAGAAAATAATCAAACAAGCAAGCAAGAGGGAGGGAGAAGGAAGGGAAAGAGAGGAGGTGATGGAAGGGAAGGAGGGAGATCAAATAGAATGAAAATGAAGACACACAAAAGAGAGGATATGAAGTTGAGGGGAGGGGAGAGGATCTGGATGGAGTGAAGGGCAAACATTATCAAAACATGTTACATGACACTCTCAAAGAATTAACAAAATATTAAAAAGTAAATTAATTAAAGCCGGGCAGTGGTGCAGCTTGCCTTTAATCCCAGCACTTGGGAGGCAGAGACAGGCAGATTTCTGTGAGTTTGAGGCCAGCCTGGCCTACAAGTGCTAGTTCCAGGGCAGGCTCGATAGCTAGAGCTAGGAACAGTACTGGGGACCTAGCTTCTAGGGTTCAGAAAACAGTGGGGCAAAGGTCTGGGGAAGAGAAGAGGCACAAAGAGAGAACCTAGAGGTTAGGGCGTGAAGGGCACATCGTAGGTGATGGGGAACTGGAGTGAAGCTTATGCTGCAGTTCCCCCACCCAGGAGTCTGAGGCAGGGGGGTTGCCATGAGGAGAAAGGAAGAAAGACACAAGGAGAGAGCGAGAAGGGGCAGCATGTCTCTCTCTTGGATGAGAACAGTCCCTACCTCATCCCCACTTCATCTCGAAGCGCTGTTGGTCTCTCCATCATTGTAGTCAGGGTGGTGGGAAGCCAGGGCATAGAATGCTGCTCACAGCATCTGCATCTTACCAAGAGAAAAGCCTGAAGTCGCACGCACTTCTCACCCCTCCCTCATCTCTCACGACGCGGTCCCCTTTGATGGCTCCCCAGCTACAGGAACCTCCTTCTCGCCTTTAACTCTTCCACGTGCTGTCCCCTCTGTCTGGAATTCTTTTCTTCAGGCCATGCACACGACTCCACCAGCCCCTGACTTCTTCAGCTCCTCACCTAAAAGTCATCTTCTCAGTCAGCCCGCCCCATCCACCCAGTCGGAAAAGTGGGTGCTGGAGCTGGGCAGAGTGGCGCAGGGCTAGAGTTCTGATGACTTGGGAGCCCAAGACAGAAGAATCATTTGAGTCTACCAGTTTGAGACCAGCCCGAGCAACTAGGACACCTGATCTGAGAGAGAGAGAGAGACAGAGACAGAGAGAGAGAGAGAGAGAAGAAAGGGGAGATGAGAGGAAGGCAGACAGGAACATGGGAAGAAAAGGGAAGGAAAAATATTTTCTAGATGGATACCAACCAGTGGAACTTTTTGGAATGGGGGGGGGTGATAAATGTAGCCTCGCTGTCAGCTAGGAAAGCACAGCATGGCTACTGAGGACAGGGAATGAGGTAGGTGTGATAAGGACATGAACTTTTCATTTTAACATTATTGAAGAGGGAACTTGGCACAGAGCTCACGTGGGGTCAGAGGACGACTTGTGGAGCCAGTTTTGTTCTTCCACTTTGGTGTGGATTCAGAGATCCAGCTCAGGTCACCAGGCTTCCGGGACAAAGGCCTTGCACCACCGAGAGCCCTCATCAGCCTCATAACTTTCTTCTTTTCATTTCTTCTTCTTTATTTTTTCTGAGTCAAGGTTTCTCTGTGTAGCCCTGGCTGTCCTGGAACTCTTTAGACCAGGCTGGCCTCAAACTCAGAGATCCTCCTGCCTCTGCCTCTGTCTCTCAAGTGTTGGGGTTAAAGGCATGGACCACCACCAGAAATTTTCATTTTAAGAGATTCAAATACAGCCACAGAAGTTTTGCAGCCTCTATGTTCTAACTGTAGCACCTATACACTTGCCCATCTTCTTTGTTAGTATTTCCTTAAAATCTGACCTAATATGCTACACAATTCTATACATACTATAATACACTACACTATACTATATTATACTATGTAATTTAATTCTGAATCTTATTTATAATTTGCTCTTCCTGCTAGAAGGTAAGCTCCACAAGAAAAAAGCTCCCAGCCAAGCTCTCAGCACCTGGGAGAGTTTCTGGTGCATGGCCTACACTTTAAGAAGAATTGGTTTAGTGAACGAACAAATATGATAGAACCTGCATGCTTTGTGCTGACCTAAGTCTGTTCTTGGCTGATGAGCTCCGAAACGCGCCTCCTGCATGGCTGTTTTACGTTCTTCCAGTCCCTGGCTGTGATGTGCCCCTCTTTTCTAGTTTCTTCATGATGTACTCACTGTCTGAACTTCATGATGAACTCACTGTCTGAACTTCATGTACTACTCTGGCCTCCAGGGCTTGGCTCATCAGAGACTCATGCAACTAATCTCAGTTTACCAAGTTTCTTACATGTAACTCAGGCAACAAATGTACAAAAGGGACATGCAGCCCGGAGTCCTGTCAGCTTCTGCTTTTCTGTGCCGCTTCCAGAGAGGAGCGCAGTCCTTCACAGTAGTGCTCAACAGTGGGCCTCAGGCAGACCCCACATACTTGATCATCAGGTCAAAGCTGGGTGACAAGGACCATTCACACCCTCAGCAGTACTTGTCTCTACTGCACCCTCCCAAGATCCACAGCCATGCCTCCTCCCCTGGTGATTCTGGGGTTACTATTGGTTACTATTCACCCCACATCTGTACAATGAGTGTATTGCACCTTTTGTCAAAGAAAGTCAAGGGAAGGGGACACTGGACAGTTTCAGAAAAGTCTAGCTGTGACTCTTGCTACAGTCAACAGATAGAGCCCAGATGGGGGTGGAGAGCTGGCTCAGTCGTTAAGAGCACTGACGGCTCTTGCAGAGAACCTAGGTCAATTTCCAGCACCTACATGGCAGCTCACAACTGCCTGCAACTGCAGTTCCAGAGGATCCAGCATTCTTTCCTGGCCCCCAAGGACTTCCACACACACACTGTTACACACGAACTCACACACGCACATGCACACGCACACACACACACACACACACACACACACACACACCCCATTAATTTAAAAAGAATCTAGGCGTGGAGTTTCCAGCTATAAACTCACTTGAACTGAAGGGGAAGGGAGAATAATAGGGTTATTGAAGCTTTCAGTTTTCTCTTTCTTTTTAAAAGAAATGACTCAGATTTGGTTTAGGGCTTTGTGTAACAGCCAGGAACATCCTTCTTGCCTAATGAAAGCACATGCTCCC